AAAAAAAAACGCTAAGGGAATACATTAGCACCAAACCAGCACTGCAAGAAATGTTAAAAGGACTGCTGTAATTAGCAGTAGAAATGGGAAGAAAAATAGAACCACACTAAACAAAAATGGCAATACATAAGTACATATCAATAATCACCTTAAACGTAAATGGATTGAATGCTCCCATAAAGAGACACAGAGTAGCTGATTGGATAAGAAAGCATGACACATCTACATGTTGTTTACAAGAGACCCACCTCTCAACAAAAGACTCACATAGATTGGGAGTGAAGGGATGGAAAAAAATTTCCAAGCAAATGGAAAGCAAAAAAAAGCTGGGGTAGCAATTCTCATATCTGATAAAATAGATTTCAAAATGAAGACCATAACTAGAGACAAAGAAGGCCACTATAAAATATTGAAAGGATCGATCCAACAGGAAGATATAACCTTGATAAATATATATGCATACAATATAGGATCACCAAAATATATTAAAAAATCTTCAGGAGGACGTCCAAGATGAAATCGACAACAATACAATCATAGCAGGGGACTTCAACACCCCGTTGACAGCACTGGATAGATCCTCTAGGCAAAAAATTAGCAAGGAAACAGAGACTCTAAATGAAGCACTAGACCAAAGGGATTTAATAGACATCTACAGGAAATTACACCCCAAAACTACAGAATACACATTGTTCTCAAGTGGACATAGGACATTCTCAAAATAGACCACATGATAGGACACAAACTAAACCTCTACAAGTTCAAGACGATTGAAATCATATCAAGCATCTTCTCAGATCACAATGGCATGAAACTAGAAATCACTTGCAACAAGAACATGCAAAGACATTTCAACACATGGAGGCTAAATAGCATGTTATTAAACAATGAATAGGTCACCGAGGAGATCAAGGAAGAAATTAAAAACCTCCTTGAAACCAATGAAAATGAACACACAACAACACAAAATCTATGGGATGCAGCAAGAGCAGTTCTGAGAGGGAAGTTCATAGCACTACAGGCCTACCTAAAGAAAGAAGAAAAAATTCTAATTGACTGTCTAACCTCACAACTTAAAGAATTAGAAAGCAAACAAAAAGAAAACCCCAGAGCAAGTAGAAGGAAGGAAATAGTAAAGATCAGAGCAGAAATAAATGACATAGAGACCAAAAAAACAATTCAAAGGATCAATGAAACAAAGAGCTGGTTTTTCGAAAAGATAAACAAGATTGATGGACCCTTAGCGAGACTCACCAAGAAACAAAGAGAGAGAACCCAAATACACAAAATCAGAAATGAAAGAGGAGAAGTAACAACCAACACCACGGAAATACAAAAGATCGTTAACAACTGCTATGAACAACTATATGGCAACAAATTCGAAAATCTAAGCGAAATGGACAAATTTCTAGAAACACACAGTCTCCCAAAACTATGGCCGGAAGAGATAGAAAACTTGAACAGACCAATAACAACTAAGGAAATTGAAGAGGTAATCAAGACTATCCCAGCAAACAACAGCCCAGGCCCAGATGGCTTCACGGCGGAGTTTTACCGAACATTCAAAAAAGAACTAACACCCATTCTCCTCAAATTATTTCAAAAAATTCAAGAAGAAGGAAGACTTCCAAACACGTTCTGTGAGGCCAGCATAATTCTAATTCCAAAACCAGAAAAAGATACTACGAAGAAAGAAAAATACAGGAATATCCCTGATGAACATAGATGCCAAAATCCTGAACAAAATATTAGCAAATCGGATCCAGAAATACATCAAAAAAATTATTCACCATGACCAAGTGGGATTCATTCCAGGGATGCAAGGCTGGTACAATATTTGCAAATCAATAAACGTGATACACCACATAAACAAAATGAAGAATAAAAACCACATGATCATATCAATAGATGCTGAAAAAGCATTCGACAAAATCCAGCATCCATTTCTGATAAAAACACTCAGCAATGTGGGAATAGAGGGATCATATCTCGACATAATAAAGGCCATATATAAAATACCTACAGCCAACATCATACTCAATGGACAGAAACTAAAAACATTTCCATTAAGAACAGGAACAAGACAGGAATGTCCACTTTTGCCACTCTTATTTAACATAGTACTGGAAGTCTTAGCCACAGCAATCAGACAGGAAGAAAAAATAAAAGTGATCCAAATTGGAAAGGAGGAAGTGAATCTATCATTATTTGCAGATGACATGATATTACACATAGAAAACCCTAAAGACTCCATCAAAAATCTACTAGGCTTAATAAATGAATTTGGCAAAGTAGCAGGATACAAAATTAACGTCAAGAAATCGACGGCATTCTTGTACACCAATGATGAACTCATAGAAAGAGAAACTGAAAAAATAATCCCATTTACCATCGCGCCAAAAAATTAAGATACCTGGGAATAAACTTAATCAGAGAAGTAAAGGACCTATTTGCAGAAATCTACAGGTCATTGAAAAAAGAAATAGAGGAAGATATAAAAAAGTGGAAGCACCTACCCTGTTCATGGATGGGAGAATTAACATCATTAAAATGTCCATACTACCCAAAGCAATCTATTAGATTCAATGCAATCCCCATCAAAATACCAACGACATATCTCATAGAACTAGAACAAATACTTCAAAAGTTCATATGGAACCAAAAAAAACCTCGAATAGCCACAGCAATCTTGAAAAAGAAGAACAAAGTAGGTGGGATCACCATACCAGATATCAGGTTATACTACAAAGCGACTGTAACCAAAACAACCTGGTACTGGCACAAGAACAGGCATATAGATCAGTGGAACAGAACTGAAAACCCAGAAATGGACCCAAGGCAATACGTTCAATTAATATTTGACAAAGGTGGCAAGAGCATACAGTGGAGTAAAGACTGCCTCTTTAATAAATGGTGTTGGGATAATTGGACAGCTACATGCAAGAAAAATGAAACTAGACCATCAACTTACACCCTACACAAGAATAAACTCAAAATGGATAAAAGACTTAAATGTGACCCATGAATCCATAAAAATTCTAGAAGAAAATGTAGGCAACAAAATTTTGGACATCATACAGAGCACAATTTTCACTGATACATCACCTAAGGCAACAGAAACAAAGGAAAAAATGAACACATGGGACTACATCAAACTAAAAAGCTTCTGCACAGCAAAAGAAACAATCATCAAAATGGAAGAGCAACCCACTGTATGGGAGAACATCATTGCCAATGATGTATCAGATAAGGGGTTAATTTCCAATGTATATAGAGTGCTCATACAACTCAACAAAAGGAAGACAAAGAACCCAATTAAAAAATGGGCAGAGGAGCTGAATAGACACCTCTCCAAACAGGACATACAAATGGCCAAAAGACATATGAAGAAATGCTCAACATCACTAATCATCAGAGAGATGCAAATTAAAACAACAATAAGGTATCACCTCACACCTGTCAGAATGGTCACCGTCAAGGAATCATCAAACAACAAGTCTTGGCGAGGGTGTGGAGAAAAGGGGACTCTAATACACTGCTGGTGGGAATGCAGACTGGTGCAGCCGCTGTGGAACACAATATGGTGTTACCTCAAAAAATTAAAAATTGAACTTCTATTTGACCCAGTGATCCCACTGCTAGGAATATACCCGAAGAAGCCTGAAACACCAATCAGGAAGAATATATGTACCCCCATGTTCATAGCAGCACTATTTACAATAGCTAAAATCTGGAAACAGCCCAAGTGTCCATCAGTGGACGAATGGATAAAAAAGCTGTGGTACATATACACAATGGAGTACTATGCAGAGGTAAGAAAGAAAGAAAGATCTCTTATCCTTTGAGACGACATGGAGGGACCTGGAAAGTATTATCCTAAGTGAAAGAAGCCAAGCAGAAAAAGACAAATACCACATGATCTCACTTATATACGGAATATAATGAACATAACAGTCTGAAGAATACAGTAGACCCAGAGAAATGGAAGTAGGGCACAGACTGACATCCCTCAGAAGAGGGGGTTGGGGGGTGGGCGGCTAGGAAGAGATAAACCACAGAACTTATATGCATGTATGCATGACCAATGGACATAGACAACTAAGCCAGGGACGGGGCGGAGGTGGGGTGGGGGGGGGGGGTTCCATTGGGGTAAAAAAGGTAAAATATCTGTAACAAAAAAATAAATAAAAAATTTATTAAAAAAAAAAAAAAGAAAGAAAACAAACAAAATCTTTACTATATTTTCTTTTCTTAATGTTTTTCTCTACACAATTCATTTTCACAGACTGGTTTGCTAATGAAAATAATATATAACAATAGCTTTAATAATACAAAAGATAATACATGGCATAGTTTAGTCAATACAGTTCGTTAAAGTTTCCTATGATTTACCATTCTCTGTGTTGTTTTTTTATATACCTGTTGCTATCACAAGGGGGCAGTATTCACACCAACCACAGCTGAATATAAAAAGACTGATCAGCATCCAGATTAAGTTTCCATGGTACAGATTTTTTTTTTTTTTTTTTTTGCAGTAGTGGATGATATTACAGTACATGATTTTACATTTACCCAGTAATTATAATTCATGAAGTGTCCTTTTACCTCCAAAACTGCTGCTTTCAACACAGTAGCTGCTTTTAACAGAGTAGCTGCTTTCTACACAGTAGCTGATAGATACACGTGTGACTCAGCATAAGTACATTGTGGTGCCAACCCTGTCACATACACCTGTATTTATTTGTGTGGGGTGTATGTGATTGGGTTGGTGTGATTATGTCATCATGCTGGGTAATTGTATGTGGGTGTATCTGTATGTGGGTGTATCTGCATGTGGGATGGATAGAGGAGAGGTGTCTCGGTTCCTAAGACTATCAGAAATATGTGTTTTCCAGTGGTCTTAGGTGATCCCTGTGAAAGGGTTGTTTGACCCCCAAAGGGGTCGTGACCCACAGGTTGAGAACCGCTGTTCTAGAAGCTACTACTCTCTTTACATTTAGGTGAAAGAAGTGTTTAAGACATCACCTTTACTTGTAGGGGATGACAGTGTTTCCATCATGAACGGAACAGATGAAGGTAGAGTAGCCAGAAGCATTCTGTGCAAGGTGGCTATCCTGGTGAGACAGGCTGTGCTCAGAGCTGCTAGGAGCACTCTGAGTTCTCTCCTGGTCAGATGCATAGATGAACAAGGACTGAGTGCCCATGCCATTCCAATTCACAGTTTAACTATCTCAGCGGGTCTTCTTGGAACCAGTATTAGATTCTTATCTTGACTAGCACAAATGAAGTTTCTGAAAATAATCATCCCTTCAGTTTTAAGAGCATTTAAAGAGAATACCTGCCTAATTGTTATCATGCTTAGAATGTTGCTGTTACATTTTTAATCCTAAGACACATTTAATAAGGTCTCTCACCAACCTCTGATTTTAAACATGACCTTAAGAGTGTGTATGGGGGAGAGAAGGAGAATGTTTGGTTCTCTTCCAGCCTCTTCCAAAAAGAGGAAGTTGATAAAGAATAAGAGTGAGAGATGTGACATTTGGCAGAGTATTCTAGTTTTTCAATATGGTATCTCCTAAAACTGTCTGCCAGAAGCCACTGATGACAGTATAAATAAATTCTCTCTCTGTAGCTGATTTGAAGGATGAGAATAGTGAACAAGTGGTCATTTTGTGTTGAAACCTAAAAGTAGTAATCTGCATCCCATATATTGTTTACAGCACCTCAAGTGATTCAAATGCTGTTTTGTGACTCTCTTATAGGCATTTCAGCCTGGATTACCATCAACTTCCTAACAGATACAGTCACTCCATCATGAAGGCTAATGGTGCAGACCTCATTCTTGAGAGGAGGGACCTCATTTCTACTCTAAAATACCATCTCAGGGTTTCGCAGTGTTCTGGCTCAAAGTAGATTGTTAGAATGGGTGGAAGTGTCCACTTGGCTTGGCAGGGCAAGCACTGAGTTCACAGATATAGCTGCTAGGGAAGGGGTGCTTCTCTGCAGTCTTGGGGTGGTTTCCACCAGCATGGCTCTACCCTCATCCTGCAGCAGTGTATACCAGGGGCCCTCCTCTCTCATTTCTGAGAGAAGTTAACTAGTCACTTTAAATATTTTAAATGCTAATCACCTTATAACGAATTCCTCTACAGTAGGTAGAACAAAGAACAAAAACATCTATTTTTAGAAGCAGGCAGCAAAGAGTTACTTTTCTTAGATTAACTCAGTACCTATGGATTTTTGTCCCTTTAATGGAATGATGGAGAAGACCAGTGTGTCTGACATATATAGGAAAAAGAAAGAGCCCTGGCCAGTTTGGCTCAACAGAGCGTCAGCCTGTGGTCCAGAGAGACCCGGGTTTGGCTCTCGCTAAGGACGCGTACCTTGGTTGCAGTTTGTCCCCAGCCCTGGATGGGTCGTGCAGGTGGCAACCACTCGATATGTCCCTTTCACATCAAAGTTTCTCTCTCTCTCTCTTTTCCTCTCTCTCCCTTCCACTCTATCTGAACAAAAAATAGAAAAATGTCCTTGAGTGAGGATTTAAAAAAAAATTTTTTTTTTTTTTAAAGAGAAAGAAGTTTCCTGGCCCTGTGAGGAATGGAGAACCATGTTAAGTTGCAGATCAGAAGCCTGAGCCTCAAAGCTGAGGTAGGGGAAGTCATGCCTGGGGAATGTAGGAATATTACAGAAGTCAGCATCTCTGAGCAGTGAGCAGTAGATATTTCAGGCCCAGCATCTCTGCCACAGGTTAATGTTTTCCTCTCATTGTTCAACTCAAAGCCAGTCAGAGGAGCTACTCATGTATCTTAAACATATGGTGCATCTTTTTTTTTTTTTTTAATCCTCACCCAAGGACATGTTTCCATGTTTTGTTCAGATAGAGTAGGAGGGGGAGAGAGAGAGAGAGAAGCATCGACATGAAAGGGACACATCGGGTGGCCGCCACCCCCATGACCCAACCAGGGCCAGGGACAAACTGCAACCGAGGCATGTGCCCTTAGCGGGAACCGAACCCGGGTCTCTCCGGACCACAGGCTGACGCTTTAACCGCTGAGCCAAACCGGCCAGGGCCATATGGTGCATCTTTATGTGGAGAATTTCAAGTAGTTACAGTAACTTCTCTATCTTGTTTCTGTTTCCACTGAAGGGCCTAGCTTCTTACCTCTCCTTACATTTTCTACTGTACTAATCTGTTTACTAACAGGACAGTGCCGGGTTGGTTTTTACTCCATGTGCTCCAGGCAGATTGAAATCCCCATGAAGCAGCAGTGTGGGCATGCTGGAATTGGGCAGAGGGTCCACTCAGATCACCTTCCTTCCAAGAGTTGAGGTAACCAGCCCCTGATGCGGCCCCACCCTCCAAGGTCACCTCCCATGGGGAGGCCAATAGATCTGGTGGCTCGGGCCCATATCATCGGTTTCTTTGCTAAGGGCCAGATCCATTCAGTTAATGCTTCTTAGTTTGATTTTAACTCTGCCTGGAAAAATAGAAATTTTGTCTTTGATGGGGTGATAAAGTTGATACCTGGAACTCTTTGGGCCAGAGAATGTGAAATGGGCCCTCTCCTTCCCTCCCTTACAGCACCCTGTTCATCCACCATATCATTATTATTATTATCATCATCATTATTAGTTTTCAACAGAACACTTTTGCAATTTACTCATAATTGCCTTGGTTGGCCTATATTTATCAGAATAGGTAAATGTTATTCATAAGAAGGAAAAAACTAGTTTTTCATTTTGGACATTTTATTTTTTATTCTTGCTCCAATTAAAAGTTTAATTTGGCTTAATGAAAAGCTATTTTAATTGAATACATCTGTGAATATCCTTGTTATTTGAAATGAGTTGAAGGAGTCAGGGACATTTTTCTATAAAGGCCAGCTTGAAAGTTAATAACCTTCTTGTTCTTCCTCAGGATACTCTTCAGACCTCCACATCCAGATACCTGACATCACTACAGATTTTTAATAGGACCTACAAGCTCTATTGCTACAGGTTTGTCTTCAAGAGTGAGGGTTGAGAGGTTGACCAACCAGGCACATAGCTCAACTAGCACACTGCTTGACCTCCCCCTTGCCTCTGACCCCTGCTTTATGGAATAACTGGAATATTCAATCACAGACATGCTAGGTCCCAGATACCCCCTGCTGTGGACCCACCTAGAGCCTCTTCTTCCTCCTCCCTACTAATCCTTCCTCCTCCTACTATCTCCCTCCATTTTTCAGTTTTCCTACAGTAAAATTACATTTCTTTTTTTGTTCTTACTGTGTTCTGCTTTAGAGAAGGTTTTTGAAGAAATGGGGAAAAGCCCATGGATTGTGTAGGCTTTCTAAACCATCTATTTGCCACATAGCACCTTCAGTAGATTTCTTTCTGTAAAGCACATGTGCACCATAAGGATCAGGGTTGTATCTGTTGCATTTACCAATGTCCACAGCTCTTAGACAAGCTCCTGTCAAGTAATAGGCCTTCATTTATTGAACTAATTATCTGAATGCTCTAAACTCCACAAAGGAAGACTTCCAAAAAAAGCAGAAAAGCCTGCTTGCCTTGCCAAAGTTTTCTGCCTTTCCCACTTGTTTTGGATCCAGTCCAGGAGAATGTATTAAAATCAGAGTCGAGGATGGTAGTCCAGTCCCTAACCCAGGATTTTCTTTCCACAGCTACTTGGGGCTCGGATTGATGTCAGCTCGGCTTGCGATTCTGGGCAGTACATAGGGTAAACCTGGTGAGTGGAATGCTGTGTTGAGAGTCCTCCTTGCTCAGCAGGCATAAGGAGGCCTTCAGCAGAATTGCCCCTTCTCCTGTCCATGCCTCCACTGTCACAGCAACTCACTGATCCCTGGCCTGCCTTCCTGGTCTGTCCTCCCTGCCGGTAGGACTTGGGGAGCCCAGAAGTGATGTGTATGGAAGAATGTGCCCCACATCTTGTCAATGGCACCTAGATGGGGATGCAAACTAATGTGTTTACCTGTGAGCATTCCAAGTTATTTTTCAAAAGAAACACTGAGCTAGGAGATTTTAAGATTCCTAAATAACAGTTGTCACTTATATTTGGGGTATGCTTCTTTTTAAGGATTTAGAGAGAGAACCTTATTCTTCAGGACAGTAGAGGAGGGGACAAAAGGAGGCATGATTCGGGCTGTGGCTGGAGGACTTATTCTCTCATTCAAAGTGATTCTAGCCTTATGAGAATGTCCCTCTGTCTTCTCTTGCTTCATCATAAAACATGAGCTTGGCTCTTCCTCCAGACCTGGTGTTGGACTAGAGTCAAAGTCTATGTCTGGTCAGGTTATTAAAGTTGCATTTACTCCCAACTTTTCTGCTCTCTCCTGACTGGTCTGGTTGAGGACAAGCCTGTCATTGTCTGGCAGTGCACTTGAATTCAAGTGTCCCAATTCAGGAATGAGAGGACACAGCTCTGAGGCTGGCACCTCCTTGTCTATCCTGATTACATCAGTTGGAGCCCTAAAGGCCTTGATCCATTCTTCTCATCCAGACTTGTGCATGTGAGCCCACTTTGTGTTCTTCAGCCACACACCCTTCCTTTGGCCCTGCTTCTTCATGCCCTGTCTCTCTTTCTCTCCCAACCCCAGCCCAGCACTTCTACCACCCTCTTTCAAGGGCCTGGTTGTTCTGACATGATGGGAATGTTAAACTGAAAAAATATTTTTTGGTACATCTTATTGCCATTCATTTCTTTCAAATTCTGGTGTTTAACTTCATAATAATATCAGAAACACCTGTGACCTTCACTCTGGGTCCATAAAACACTATTTAGCCAACAAGAAGAAGGTAAGCATCAGTTTGCCTACTCATGGCTGGTATCCAAGTGCCATCAGATCCCGCATCCTCCCCTTTCAGCAGAGCAGCTGGAAGGCCACTGATCTTGACAGTCCATACAAGTGCCTGATTGGGCCAGGTGGGGGCCAGGACACTCACCAAGAGGGGTGTACTTCAGAGGATGAGTCTCCCTGTTGTGTTATCTGTTGTTGCACAACAGATCACCCACCAAACTGAGTGGTTGCAAACTGCAGTCATTTTATTATTGTATCTCATGATTCCATAGGTTTCAGCTGGGTAACACCTCTACTAGAGTCCCTGGTGTCCCATGTGGTGGCATTTAGGGTGGCCGGGCTACATGTCTGCACCCTGGCACTACTCCATATAGCCTCTCTTCCACCAGAGAAGTCTGTACTTCTCCCTGGCAACTCATAGGAATGAAGACTCCCTGAGTCATCAGACATGCATCCTGAACCTTCTGTTGGTGAAAGCAGACCCAGACCAGAATCTAGGGCAGGAATAGGGACTCACTTCTTGGTGGAAGACCAACAAGGACATCCTCAAGGGATGCCTTTCCTATGGGAAGCCTTGGAGGCCAACCAGCATGTTTCCTTTGCTAATAATGGGCCCCGGCTTTTGTGGAGCAGCAAACACTTGTGGCATGCTAACACTTGGTGTCATCATCCTGGCCCTGCCTCAGTCACCTATAAAATTAAGTAATGACTGTTCCCCTTTTATTAGGGTCCTTATAACACTGAACAGCACTAGGCCTGTTGACTTGAACCCTGAAGCTCCTCAGTAAAAGAGAGCTGGAAGTGGCCATGTTTCCAGGGCAGATGAGGCTGTGCTGCAGCCTCTGTGATAAAGGCTTTGCCTCCCGCAGCTAACCTGGAACACTTCCATGAATCAGGTCTCACCTTTAACTCTCCATGCTTTTACTACTAGCCTAAAATATTCTCTGTCCTATAGGCCTCCCCTCAGTGGAATCACGTCTCTCAGGCCCATGTAATGCCCTAGTCTTACAGTGACAATGTGCTTTTCTTTTTTGTTTTTTTATTTCAGTGGAGGATGGAAAGGAGTTGGTTAACCCTATTTGTCACCCAGTTTCAAAGGAGAGTGGGAACATACAGAAATAACATACAGACTTTCAGGACATAAGACAGGTATTGTGGATTTCATCGGTGGTTTATAAGGGTTAACAATGGCAGCCTGCCCCTTCCAAGGACCTCTGAGAATCAAGGAAACCCTCATCAAACCTCCTTTATAGACAACCTTTGTACTTGTCCATGAAATGGAGTCACTCTTTGAACCACATCAGGACTCTGGGAGGCCCCTGCCCACTGGGATCCACCAACTCCTGCAAGGTCTCTGTACAAGGCTTCCATGTGTTTTACCAAATGTTTTCTTCCAAGGGGCCAGATTTCCCAACAAGACCTCCATGATGAAGGATCTGAACATCCCAAGCCTCTAAGACAATCAGCAAGCCCGTTTGTGAACAAAGGGAGAAATGACTTCTCCTTTCTTCCTTTAGGACAAGGGAGGCTGCTCTAGGCTGCAGAGTCCCCTGAAGCCCTGTAACAGGGTCTTGCCAGCCTGGCCTCTCTCAGCCCACATTGTCCTTGTTGCTTTGTGCACTGTTAGTGTCATCTAAAAGAAATATATTGAACTATTGTTCCTAGGCTGGACATGTGGACATGAGGTTTACCTGCCTTTGGTGCCAGAGTTGTTTCTACTCTTCTGACACCAAATGTGTGGGTTTCCTACACCAAACAGCTCTCCAAACAATTGATTAAACCATTGGCCCTTGGTTATTAATTCAATCCCTAGTCCCTCACCCCTTCCTGGATGTTGGGGTTGGGAAGTTCCATCCCTCATATCACATGGTCTGTACCTCTGACAATCATCCTCCACCCTGTTGCCATCTGGGGACCCACCAAGAGTCACCTCATTAGTATAAATTCAGGTCTGCTTGAAAGGGGTTTATGAATAGCAGAAGATGCCCTTCTCACTCCCATCATTCAGGATCTTACAAAGGATTAAGTAGCTTTATATCAGAAACCAGGAACAAAGACCAAATATGTTACTTATTTTCCAGTGACCTAGCCACATATGCACATGCCATTTGTTAGGCCCCACTGCAGCTAATGGGCACACAAGCAGCAGTGCACAGTGCTGAAAAGATCTGTGCCTAGGTAGAGTGGGAGGAGTCAGACCATAAATCACATAAGAAAGTGCTTTGAAGAAAAATAAAATATAAGGAGGAGAGGGGGTGCCAAAGGAGAGATTGCAGTTTTAGATAGGACAACCAGGGAATATTTGAGAGCAGATATGAAGAGATTCAGAATGGGCCACACAGATCTAAAGCTGCGGGAGCAGCATGTGCAGAGGCCCTGACGCAGCTGGCTGTGTTTAAAGAACAAAGAGAAGGTAGTATGATTAGTCAGGTCTGAAGGGCAAAGGGTGGTTCTGTGGGCCTCGGAGAGAATGGAATGGGCTGCCCACAGATGGAGGAACAGGTTTTGGGAAAGGAAGAAGAGAAACTGGTCTAGGCATGGGCTATAGGACATTTAATCCCTTAACTCTGGGGTCTGTGTTCTCCTTCCAAGCAAGGAGTTAATGCTCAGCCCTGTCAGCTTGGCAAGCTGTCTATTAGACCTCAGTTTCCTCATCTGTGATATAAGGAGAGTGCATACCTCACCTCCAAGGTGGCTGATGAGATGGAGTAAGATGCTGCATGTTCAGAACTCAGCACAGGGCTGGCAGAGGGTGAGTGTAGGGTAAACAATGCAAACTTGAGTCCATTAGATTGCATGAGGATGACGGCATGGGGCCCAGCTAGAGGCTGAAATCCTTCAGAGTCAAGGAACATGTTCTCCGGCCACCTTCATTCTCAGGATTTCTCTCCCTTGGTCAATGCCATGGCTCCTGAGAGGTGCTGTTGATGTATATGGTGCTAGTGAGCACCTGACTTGGGGTGGGGTCTGTGCAGGCTTCAGGTTTTACCTCACCCTTCAGGTCAGAGTCTCAAGTCACTGAGAAGGGGCCATGGGGATTGTGTGGCTTGGGTACTCGGAGCTCACTGACTGCTGGCCCTGCTTTTGCTTTGCCCGGCAATGAATCTCCATCAGCTGTGTGCCAGCAGAATGTCGGAAGTCCTTCAAAATAAAGTGCACAGAATGGAAGAAGTGAAGAATGTGGATTTTTATGCTTTTTCTTACTATTAAGACCTTGCAGCAAATGTTGCCCTCATAGGTAAGGGTGGGCTGGGCCAGAAACTCAGGTGTGGACCCCCAGGACAAGGGACTCTCTCGAAGCAGCTGTGCTGTCAATCACCTCAGGGCAAGAGAAGTGGACTGACTCAGAATGGTAGGTGTCCTGTCATTGAATAAGAAGTAATAAGCCACCCTTTTTAAAATTTTTTATTTATTATTTTGTTTTGTTGCAGATGTTTTTCATTTTCACCCAATGACACCCTTCTCCCCTTCCCCCAACCTCATCCCCAGCTTTGTTGTCTATGTTCATTGGGCATACATACATCCATGTTAAGTTCTGTGGTTTATCTCTTCCCCCCCAAACCCCAGCCTCCTCTGAGGCTCATCAGTCTGTACCCCACCTCCATATCTCTGGGTTAATTTTGTTCAGCAGTTTGCTTACATCATTATATTCCACAAATAAGTAAGATTGTGTGATATTTGTCTTTCTCTGCTTGGCTTGTTTCGCTTAGCATAATACTCTCCAGGTCCTTCCATGCCATCTCAAAGGATAATAGATCTTTCTTCCTTACAGCTGCATAGTATTCCATGCACCACAGCTTTTTAATCCACTCATCTACTGATGGACACTTGAGTTGTTTCCAGATCTTAGCTATTGTAAATAGTGCTGCTATGAACATAGGGGTACATATATTCTTTCTGATTGGTATTTCAAGTTGCTTAGGGTATATTCCTAGAAGTGGGATCACTGGGTCAAATGGAAATTCAATTTTTAACTTATTGAGGTAACACCATAGTGTTTTCCATAGCGGCTGCACCAGTCTGCATTCCCACCAGCAGTGTACTAGAGTCCCCTTTTCTCCACACCCTCACCAACATTTGTTGTTTGATGATATGTTGATGGCGGCCATTCTAAAAGGTGTGAGGTGATACCTAATTGTTTTAATTTGCATCTCTCTAATGATTAGTGATGTTGAGCATTTCTTCATATGTCTCTTAGCAATTTATATGTCTTGTTTGGAGAGGTGTCTATTTATGTCCTCTGCCCATGTTTTAATTGGGTTCTTTGTCTTCCTTTTGTTGAGTTGTATGAGCACTCTATATATTTTGAAAATTAACCCCTTATCTAATACATCATAAATAAGTTTGGTAAAGTAGCAGGATATAAAATTAATGTCAAGAAATCGACAGCATTCTTACACAACAATGAAGAAATCACAGAAAGAGAAACTAAAAAGACAATCCCATTTACCATCGCAGCAAAAAAATTAAGATACCTAGGAATAAACTTAACCAAAGAAATAAAGGACCTCTCAAAGAAAACTACAGGTCATTGAAAAAAGAAATAGAGGAAGATATAAAAAGTGGAAGCACATACCTTGTTCATGGATTGGAGGAATTAACATCATTAATATATCCATACTACCCAAAGCAATCTATAGATTCAATGCAATCCCCATCAAAATACCAATGACATACTTCACAGAACTAGAATAAACACTCCAAAAGTTTATATGAAACAAAAAAAGACCCCAAATAGCCACAACAATATTGAAAGAGAAGAACAAAGTAGGAAGGATCACATAACCAAACATCAGGTCATACCACAAAGCCACTGTAATCAAAACAGCCTGGTACTGGCACAAGAACAGGCACACAGATCAATGGAACAGAATAGAGAACCCAGAAATTGACCCAAGACAATATGCTCAATTAATATATGACAAAGGTGGCAAGAGCATACAGTAGAGTCAGGACAGTCTCTTCAATAAATGGTGTTGGGAAAATTGGACAGCTACCTGCAAAAAAATGAATCTAGAACACCAACTTACACCATACATGAGAATAAACTCAAAATGGATAAAAGACTTAAATGTAACTCGTGAATCCATAAAAATTCTAGAAGAAAATGTAGGCAACAAAATCTCAGACATTATATGCTTCAGAATTTTCACTGATACAACACCCAAGGCAACAGAAGCAAAGGAAAAAATGAATACATGGGACTATATCGAACTCAAAATCTTCTGTACAGCAAAAAAAACAATCATCAAAATGGAAAGGGATCCCACTGTATGGGAGACCAATAAGCCCTCTTTTTTTTTTTATCCTCATCCGAGGACATTTTTCCATTTTTTGTACAGACAGAGTGGGAAGGAGAGAGAGGAAGAGAGAGAGAGGGAAACATTGATGTGAAAGGGACACATCGAGTGGCTGCCACCCGCACGACCAACCAAGGCCGGGGACAAACTGCAACCGAGGTACATGCCCTTAGCGGGAACCGAACCCAGGTCTCTCCGGACCGCAGGTGGAGGCTCTAACCGCTGAGCCAAACAGGACAGGGCGATAAGCCCTCTTTTAAATAAATTAGTTCTTTGTGCCATTTAGTAAAGGTATATTGTTGGTACAGGAGCAGTCACTTTGTTATTGATTTAGTCTGCTCTGAGCAAGACTAACTTACCTGTGTAACTGAGACCCTCACCCTCCTGCCTTGTGGTGCAGCAAGCAACCGTCTGTCCCTAGCTGGCACCCAGGCTGACGTGGGGAGAAGTCAGCCAACTCCACTGGTCACCCTAAGGAGGTTTTAGGGTCTCTGACTACTCCACACCCCAGGGGACAGTCAGGACAGGAGAGTTTGCCAAGGCAGGAGCTGTCTAGACTGAGGGTGGAAACTTGAGGGTTTGAAGTCACTTTACTGGGTAGTGACCAGAAATTTTGTTAATAAAATCATTGAGAAATTTAGAATGCATTGCCTATGGTAAAGATAAGAGCATTAAGGTAAATGAAAAGCTGCCCAGAAGAAACATGATGTCAGGGTGTAGCTCCCTGTATCCTGAGACCACCAGCTGAGTCTCCACGTTCAGTAAGCCACCCACTGCCAGGACCGAGGGGCTAGGACGGGGGTCCTCTCTCTCACCTTTCTCTCAGACCCTGATCCGTCTCTCTGGCACAGACCAAGGGGTCCTTGGGTTGCCCTATACAGCCAGCTCTGTGGCATCCCTGCAGGCTCCGTGTAGCTGGAGCAAGAGCACACTAATGCGCACTTCCTAACCATGCTGCCAGCTGTGGATGTTGCAATGCCAAGGGTCCACCATACCCTAGGCATTGATTTAGTTTTCTTGTCTAAATCAAGAATGCTTCACCCCAGCATCCCCTTGTCAATCTAGGACCGAAGACTGTCCTTTCCCTGGGGTTTTGACATCTTTCCAAGTGACTTCATGAGATGCTAGGTGTTCAGGAAAGCTCTTCCAACTTCCTCTTGTGATCACACATGGCTCTGAAAGAAGCCCTTGAAATTCACCCTTAATGATGACATTTGCTGACTTAACAAAAGCCCAAGAAGTCAGAAGATTTCCTTTCAACACAATGAGTAGCTGCCTCATACCAGACATGAATGTGCAGGACACCTGTGGACCCTCTATTGAACATGGAAGTTTTGGAGGGCATTGATAAAACCACTTACTGTGCTTGAGAGTTGGGGACATAGCTCTTAGTGCCTCCCTGCCCAGGAATGGCAGAGGCCTGGGGGCTATACCGGCTCCTCACCTTTTTTTTTTTTTTTAGAGAATGTTTTTTTCACACTCAGGAAACTGATACCAGAATACCATTGCTGTGCCCGTTTCCAGATTACTTTCTTAACTTAAAATTAAAGTTGAAAACTGGGATCCAGAGATCCTAGGGTCCAGGAATTTTGGTGAGCTGCCTCTGGCAGCCCCTGTGAGATCCCTGATGTGCTGACCTCCCCCATGTGGTTCTGCATGGAACACCTGCCCACCCAAAGCTGCATCAGGCAGAAACCATGGTCAGTGCATGGGTCTGCTGCCCTACATACAGCCAGGCTGGTAGCCAGCCCTTAAACACAGCCCTGCACCTGCCTCCCCAGGCTCCCCAGGTGCCAGCCTTGGGGCCTCAGTAGTATTGAGACTCCTGTAGTGCTTGTATGGACTAGACACTTGGTCTTGTTCCACAGATGCAGAGAAGGGAGGCAGCCTAGTTGTCGGAGACTTTGAGATCGCAGCCAAATATGGTGAGTGGCTACTGCAGCACCTACCCAGGTGAGAAGGGCTAGAGCTTGAGTCTGGGACACTGTCCCAGCCATGACAGACGTACTGCAATGCTTGTGACACAGGCAATGGCACCAGAATTCCTGGATTTGGTTCTTGATTCTGTGAACCAGATAAGTGTTCAGAAGTGTGAGAGTATGGAGTATATCTTGCTGGGGTTACCTTGCTGGGCCTAGACCAAAGGTTCACCACATCCTGTGTAGCTACAGATGGTAGGAAAGGAAGCTGTTCATCTCCCTAGCCATAAAAGTCCTCCAGTTGTGAGGAATGAACTCCCTAGATTTTACTTTTCCTGATGTCTTTCACTGTGATTCAGGTTGTCTATAAGAGTGATTTCCCCTGAAAGCATCCCAATAAATTCAAAATTGTCATTGAAACCTGAAAAAGCCAGGGACCCCTGAACAGCAGAGCCTGGCAATATGAAGGATGGAGAGCTGTTCCCTTGGGGTATCACAGGTGATTGGCCCTGCAGCCCTGAGCCTTCCTTCTTTCCTCATCATCTCACACCAAGATGAACAGGATATAAAGTGAAGGCTTATTATAAATGTTCTGCTCTTTGGTTGCCATTCCCAACTGAAGGTTGAAAGAGTTAACCTTTGTATGTTTCTCCATAGAAAGTCCTTCCTCCCCCTCCAAAATGGCTTCTCAACTTTATTGTCACTTCCCGGTCTGTCTCGTGAACACTGGGTGTCCATTACTCGTTTTTTGTTGTTTTTTTTTAATTTTTTGTTTTTTTTTTGTTGTTGTTAATTCTTACTTTCCACTGATTTTTGGACAGAGTGGAAGGGAGAGAGAGAGAGAAAGAAACATCAATGTAAGAGAGACACATTGATTAGTTGCCTCCTACACGACTCGGACGGGGGCCAGGGATGGAACCTGCAACCCAGGTATGTGCCCTTGGCCGGAAATTGAACCTGCTCTAACTACTGAGAAAAACCTGTCAGGGCTGTGATTCTTCAATAGGAAAAGTTGTACCTAGCAATATTCTGGGAAAGCTGTCCATCCCCCTTGAAAATAAGAATAGATTGTTCTGAGCCAGCTTTGTTGGTGTTTGCATGCCTCAGAAAGCCCACGTCTGCGTCTGGGAGAGGTGTCCAATGTCATGGGTGCAGAGAAATGTGGCCTTCCACCCATGACACTGAGACGGGAGGTCCAATTCCATGGAGACTGGGCTTGCCTCAGGCCCTGCGTCTTGGTGTGCTCTTGACAGGTCACTGTCCCGCTCTGAACTGTAGTCTTGTTTAAATCAACAGTGAGGACCTGGTGCAGAGTGGACACCCAGAGTGGTTGGAGTTGGGTCTGCATGCACCTACCTCCCACTCCTATGGAGTGAACCACCAGGCACCTGGCTGGGAATGGGCTTTCAATCCCCAGTGTGCCAGATGGTGGAGACCCAACCACAGAACAACCCCTTCATGTGCATGGATCTCACCTACATCAGCTTGCTGCTCCAAGAATTCAGCTTCCCGGGAAACAAAGTGTTGAAGATAAGGACTCGCCTCTTGGGTACCCCTGTGCCCTTCATGACCTGAGGGGCCAGAATGCTGCCTTCTTCCCCTCCCTTTGTCTTTTCCAGCTGACTCAGAAAATCAACAATGTTGAGACCAGCTGGGCTCTGGGGGACATTCTTCATTACATCAACTCTCTAAATGGACAGAAGAGGATGGCCTCATAGTGGCTGAGCTACCCACTGCCCTCAAAGAAGTGTGGCTCCATCTCTGCAAGAACATACCCTTTGGAAACACTTGACATGTTAGGAGGAGGCCACAGTTCGGGCCTAGACCTGTCCTCCCTGAGGCTTGCAGACCTGTCCCTGGTCAGGCAGAGGACTGGAATTCAGCCCAGGCCCAATATTTCCCTCTCCTTGCCTCAGCTCAAGGTGAACCAGATAGGGAAAGGGCACACACCAAGGTTGGAACAATGTAGTCCCACTGTCCCCACCATTTCCATCTGTAGGGTTGGACAGTTGTGACATTCCTGTAACTGGATTCTTGTTATATGTCCCTGCCCTTGTCTATCCCCATTTCCCCAAGGCACACCTCTACCTTCTTCCCCAGAATCAGTGGGGAGGTTATATAGGCTTCCCTGGCTGCTCTCAGGGTTAGCTGAGTGGGAACTGTCATGCCCTCTGGGACTGTGGGTCAGGAAGAACTCTGTGAAGTCATACAGAGGCCTGTTTCCTCAGTCTTTGAATGGCCCAGGTTTAACCAATGGAGTTGACACTATAAATAGAAGGAGGGGCTGGGAGAAATAATTTCATGGCCCTCCTGTGCCCCAGCTCTTCGAGAAAGACTGAATGTGAGTGTAAACTGCTATAAAATATTATGGTTGTCATGCAGTGCTGAGGGCTTGTGTGTCCACTGTGTTCTGAGCCTTAGTGAACATATCACTGCTCTGAACCATGTGCAGCCAAGCAGAGTCAGGAGGCACAAGCTCCCATGGGTCAGCCAGCACAGCATTTTCTAGAACTGCCCTTGAAACTGCCCTCTTGTGGTTGTTCCCCCTCGAGCTCCACAGGACGCTGACTCAGCCCTCTCTGGTGTCTGCTTTGCAAACTCTGTCAAGGGGAGACATGGACTGTGTACTGTGCACAAGTGTGGTCCCAAGTTCACAGTCATTCTCAAGGGAATGTATAGTACACAGGATAAGCTGAACCATGTGTGTTCCACTCAAAATAAAGGTTTACCAATTACCAAAGTTTACTGCTCCTCTGTGATTCCTCTCAGTGATTATCAGCAACATTCATTCACCCAACACTGAAAGGAAAAAACTTAAGTCCCTGTTTACTAAAGTTTAAACAAAAAAGCTGCCTAAGTGAGATGATGGGTGGTGGCACAATTAAGTGCTGTCAGTATATCTTGTGGGGAGAACACAGCAGAAAGACACACAGAGGCCCCCATTGGGACCTCCTGGCATTCCCTGTTAGTGACTAGCCATGGGGAGGCCTAGGATGTTCTAGGCTCTGGCCAGGGAGGCGTTCACCTTCCCAGGGGTCTGACAGAGCAGAGCTCCCCATCTCTGGGACTGTCACCTGTAGCATGTGCCAGGTAAGTCTTACACACACCACCTCCAACAGTATGGTAGTCTCAAGTATGTTCAGTGAGGACCTGGCTTTAATGTGGGTCAGCAGGAAAGGAATTGAATGTCAGGCAAAGACTGGGTGGAGTACTCACCCTGATCACTAGGTGCTGACAGCCCCCACACTTCTCAGGACCTGATGGAAGGGAGCACAGGTCTGGCCCTAAGGCTGCAGCAAAACCAGAGCAGGTATAACTGTGGAATAATCCCATGAGGTGGAGGCCTGTGGCGAGAGGAAAGCCCTCTGCAAAAAAAAAAAAAAAGTAATGATGATTTTGCTTCTCACCTCCCAGAACCTTAAATTCCCAGTGGGCACAAACAGGTGAGGGATCCAAATGTAAGCCTTTGCTGTTTGAGAAGCACTGTGCCTTTAGGACACTCAGGGAGGTTTTCACTCTTTTCTGAGGGTCCTCATCTGACCTGAGTATGGTAATCATTACTACTACAACTCCAGAAGGCTGAAGGGAGACCACCAGGATTCAAACTACAGACAAATCAAGCAAAGTCTCCTCTACCCAGTGGTTTCACCAAAATATAACCTCTGGGGCAAAGGTCTGGAACTTTGTGTGTATAACAGGAGGAAAAGACAAAGCAGGGGAGATGCTTCCATCAAGTGAAAAGACACATTAGGACTAAAGCTTTGGATATTTTTGCTTGACAAGGACAAAGAAATAACTTCTCCCCTGTATTTTACCACACCAACCTTGGTAGTGTCTCCCTAGCCCCTTCCACAATATCTAGCAATTTGAATTAAAGAGCCACAGAGGCAAGGGTTCTAAAATGGCAGCAGAGTGAATGGAAACTACACAGACCATCTCCCAGGACCAAGCTGAAATTACAACTAAGATAAAGACAAATCATCAGAAAGAGTGAGAGAAGCACCTGGAGAGAACCATATAACCATGGTGAGAAAAGACATGAACTTGAGCCTGGCAGGAACTGCAGAGGCATGGGAGGGCAAGCTGAGAGCCCATGGACAGCAGCTGTTTTAGCTGTGAGCAGCCCCCTTGGGGTAAAAATCCCAAGGAAACTCCACAGCACAGAGGGCTAGGCCGGAGCACTAAATTAGCTACAGCCACTCTCCTTGGGCTCCGACAGAGGGAGGGCAGACTAGTTTGGAACTTGTGAAGAGACTTGAGAGCTGAGAGAGCTGGGAGAGCTGAGGCAGCTGTGAGAATTTTGGGGAGTTATTCCCTCATGGAACAGTAGCCATCTTGCTCAAAGAGCCCCTTCCCAGAGCCCCATGGAGAAGCAACAGCCCCTCCATCAGGAATTTAACACCACCCAGCCAGGCCAAAGAAACACAAATTGAGGCTTATTAAGGGCCAGCAAGCACCTACCCCACCTCTGGAAATACTCTTACCCTGAACACCTGAGGGATTTTTTTCATTCAGCTGAGGGCTACAGCCCAAGGCTAATCAAGTAACTGAGACTAATAGCCTCCAGGCAAAAAGCTTGAGAATAACTGAACCTTTTCTAGGTTTGCAAATCTACCCAGGAAAGTGGTGTTTAACATGTGGTGTTTAACATGTGTCCTACCACACTCATCCAAACCCAGTAGATAGAACCACAACCAGTGTAACACCAACACCCACAGGGAAAATTCAGCAGGCTCCAAAACCAACTGTAGCAGACAAAATGATAAAACAAAGAAATCCCAAATGAAAGAAGAAGATAATTGGACAGAACATGAAGTAAATGAAAGGGAAATGAGCAAAATATCAGAGGGCAAGTTCAGAGTAATAATCATGAGGAAGCTCAACAGCATAAGTAAAGATATAGAAGCAATGAAAATCAACTAACTGGAAATGAAGAATGACATAGCACAAATAAAGAACACATTAAAGGAATAACCAGCAGAGTAGAGGAGGCCGAGGATCAGATAAGTTGAATTAGAAGAAAGGGTACAAAAAAATCACTCAATCAGAGAATCAAAAAGAAAAAAACAATTAAAAACAACACTGCCTAAGAGAAATCTGGGACAATATGAAACATAACAACATCTGAATCATAGGAGTTCTAGAAGAAGAAAATGAGCAATGATTAGAGAATATATTTGAAGAAATAGTGACAGAAAACTTTCCTAACTTGATGAAGGGAAAAGGCAGACAAGTACAAGAAGTACAGACAGCCCTAACTAAAAAGAACCCAAACAGTCTCACACCAAGACATATAATAATTAAAATGCCAAAAATTAAAGACAAAAAATCCTAAAGGCAGCAAGAGGTAAGCAGCAGGTTATCTACAAAGGAACCCCCATAAGGCTCTCAGCTGACTTCTCAATAGAAACACTACAGGCCAGAAGAGAATGGCATGAAGTAATCAAGCTAATAAAAAACAAGGATCTGAATCCAAGACTGCTCAATCCAGCAAGGCTAGCATTCAAAATAGAAGGTAAAATAAAGAGCTTCCCAGACCAAAAAAAAAAAAGGCTGAGAGAATAAATTAGCACCAAACTGACACTGCAAGAAATATTAAAAGGACTGTTGTAATCAAAAGAATAAATAAGAACAAAACTATAACCACAATAAACAAAAATGGCAATAAATAAGTACATATCAGTAATAACATTAAGTGTAAATGGATTAAACTGTCCAATCAAAAGACAGAGTAGCTAATTGAATAATAAAGTTGACTCATACATACGTTGTTTACAAGAAACCCACCTCGAAACAAAAGACTCACATAAGATGAAAATGAAGGAAGGAAAAAAATCTTCCAAGCAACTGGAAAGGGGAAAAAAGCTGGGGTAGCAATACTCATATTCAATAAGATAGACTTCAAAATGAAGGCCATAACTAGAGACAAAGAAGGGCACTACATAATATTGAAAGGATCTATCCAACAGGAAGATATAACCTTGGTAAACATATATGCACCCAACATAGGAGCACCAAATGTTGATAGACCCATAGCTAGACTCACCAAAAAACAAAGAGACAGAACCAAAATACACAAAATCAGAAATGAAAGAGAAGTAACAACAGACACCACAGAAATACAAAGGATCGTTAACAAATACTAGGAATAATCATACAGCAACAAATTGGACAATCTAAGCAAAACGGACAATTTACAAATACATAGTCTCCCAAAACTGAAACGAGAAGAGATAGAAAACTACAACAGACCAGTAATAACTAAGGAAATTAAAGATGTAACCAAGACTCATCTAGCAAACCAAAGGGCAGGCATGAAAAGCTTCACGGGGGAGTTTTACAAATGTTCAAAGAATAACTAGCACCCATTCTCCTCAAACTATTCCAAAAATTTCAAGAACAAGAAACACTTCCAAACTCATTTTATTTTTTTAATTTTTATTTTATTTATTTATTTATTTATTTAATCCTCACCCGAGGACATTTTTCCATTTTTTTGTTCAGTTAGAGTGGGAGGGAGAGAGAGGAAGAGAGAGAGAGAGAGAGAGAGAGAGAGAGAGAGAGAGAGAGAGAGAGAAACATCGATGTGAAAGGAACACATCAAGTGGCTGCCAACCACACGACCAACCAGGGCCGGGGACAAACTGCAACCGAGGTACGCGCCCTTAGCGGGAACCGAACCCGGGTCTCTCAGGACCGCAGGCCGATGCTCTAACCG